AGGAGGCCAACAGGCACCTCCAAGACCACCGCGAGGACGTTGTCACCTTCGAGGATGATTCGAGCAGCGAGGAGGAGAATGCTGCGGGGCAAGCACTCGCAGAGAGCGACGCACTTCTTGATGCCAATATTTTCAAGTTGCATGGAAATATGCCACAGGTTGACCGCGCCTCCGTTTTTAAGGCCTTCAAGCAGCTTGATGCGGCCGCCCAGCGTTCTCCAAGGGGTGTTCTCTTCTGTACAGACGTGGCTGCCCGAGGGCTGGATATGCCGCGGGTGGACTGGATCGTGCACTACGACCCCCCGGCGGATCCGGCGTGCTACGTTCACCGTATCGGGCGCACCGCCCGCATTGGCAACGCCGGAGACTCCCTGCTGTTTCTCATGCCACATGAGGCGGGATACGTCCCTTACCTGAGCCGCTTTATCGCCAAGGAGGGCGGGGGCTCGCCTGCGGAAGATGAGGCGCCTCTGCCGGCGATGGAGGAGAGAAAGTACGAGTCGTTTTTGTACTACTTGACGAAGCTGGACCCCAAGGCGAACCACGTGTGGATGCAGAGTGCGGCCACCCTCGAGCGCGCCATCAGCCGAGTGGTCATGAAGCGAGATGGGAACGAAGATGGCTTACCTGGTGGGGATGAGGCCCGGAGGGATGACCTCACGCGGCTGGCGCTGTTTGCGTACCAGTCCTACCTCCGGGCCTACGCAGGGCACTCCAGAGAGCTCAAGGCCCGTGTTTTTAATTCGGACGTCCTCCACCTTGGCCACGTCGCGCAGAGCTTTGGCCTCGACAAGAAACCCAGCGAGGTGCGGGCGCAGCTTCAGAGCTTTATCCGGGAGGACCGAAAGGTCGCGCGAGGGGCGTCCTCCCCCGGCACTCAAGAGGAGGGGCGAGGGAGCGGTGGCCCCGGAAGCCGCAGGAGACCGAAGGTGGAGGTGCGTCACGATGACCGCTACCGGAGCACGATGGTGCAGAAGCAGCGCAAGGTGACGCGGGATTGGTTTGAGCGGAAGAGAAACGAGGCGCCGGCACATAAAGCCCTTCAATTCACGGAGTTTGACGCATAAGCCTGTCGAAAGGAGGGGGAGGGGGGATCGAAACGGGCTTGACACGGAGTGAAAAGAGAAGCCACGCACCCAAGGCATGAAAAACAAAACAAAACAAGGTGCACTCCCGTTGGTTGAGGATAATAATCATACTGAGTGCTATTGTTAGGCCTCGTGGGGTGGCCTCTTGTGCCACCCATGACACGTTTGCTGCGCGTGCGCCGAACTCCGTTTTGCTTTCCCTTTTAAAATTTTGATTTGTACCACTAACGCGTCTTCCTGTTGGCTTTTTTTTGTAACTTTGCAGAGAGAAGGGAGACAGAGAACCATGACAGCATACCGGGACCTCAAACTCACGGACATCATGGGCTTCAACTTTGTCAACCTGGACCAGTTAACGGAGACCTACAGCACCGCGTTCTACGGCGAGTACGTCACGCACTGGCCCGAGTATCAGCGCATGTGTGTTCACCCGACGACGGGCATTTGCATGGCGTACACACTCGGCAAGGCCGAGGGAAGAGGCGAGGATTTCCACGGGCACGTGTCCGCAGTCACAGTCGCGCCAACGTTTCGTCGCCTTGGTTTGGGAGAGGCACTCATGAGGGAGCTCGAGACCACAACGTCCTGCCTTCACAACGCGTACTTTGTGGACTTGTTTGTGCGGCAAAGCAATAAGGTCGCGCAGGCGATGTACCAGAAACTTGGCTACGTTGTCTACCGGCGCGTGCTTGGCTACTACCGAGGTGATGGCCCCAAAGGGACGTTTAAGGATGACGAAGATGCTCTAGATATGCGCAAGGCCATGCCGCGTGACA